GGGAGGGGGGCAGGCTGCTTCGCAGAAGCGGACTTCTTGTCCGCATAAGCAAGGAAGCCGCATAAGCGAAGAAATTCTCGCATCTGCAAGACCGCAAATGCGGTTAAATATTCCGCAGAACCGAAAGCACTGGTCTGGTTACAAAAACAGAGGGGTCCGAGATTTTCTCATTCTTGGACATTTCAAATACGGTTTGGGGCGATGCTTTAGAGAGAATTCACGGGGAATCTTGAGGTAAGTCACTTGTGATCATTGTTAGTCAATAATATTGAATCATCATTGAGTATTTCGACTAGATTACGTGTTTTTGAGGTAAAATTCGAGGATTTGGGCCTAGAGATTTGAAAATAAGATTTGAGGATTTAAAGGTCGAGTTGATGTCGGAATTTGGTATGGTTGGACTCGTGGTTGAAGGGGCGTTCATATTTTGTAACTTTTGTCAGGTTCCGATATGTGGGCTCTACTGATGATTTTTGAGTTGACTTTCGGATTTTTGTTGGAAAATTTTATATTTTCATATGGAATTGATTCCTATAATTTGTGTTGACCGTATCAAATTATTTGTGACTAGATTCGAGGTGTTCGGAGGCCGAATAGCGAGGAAAAGGCTTATTGGAATAAAAAATTTTACGGTTTGAGGTAAGTAACACTTCTAAACTTGGTTATGAGGGTATGAATCCTTGAATTACGTGTTATATAAATTGTTTGGATGTGACACACATGCTAGGTGACGGGCGTGTGGGCGTGTACCGTATAAATTGCGACTTAATTGTTTTCGTAAAGTTGCATACTCAAATAATGATGTCATTATCCACATATCCTCCACGTGTTAGAGAAATTTGAGTTGAGACTCGTATTAAAGGTCATGTTTAGGCTATATGCCAATATTTTGGAATCCACAGAGGTCGTATTGCCGTTGAATTAATTGTTTAAAAATATAAATTTCATATTCAGAATCAATTATTTACACATCATATCTCTGTCTCTATTGTCATTCATTGATACATTATATCATTATGTCAGGTTGATTTTCATGTCATTGTGAGCCCGAGAGATTGGAGATTGTGAGTGATATTTATGGGATTAGATTATACGCCGCAACATATATTATTTATTTATGCCTGGATCTGGCTATTATAGAGCTTGGGCTGAAGGAGCCCCTCTGGAGTCTGCACTCCACACAGTGAGCGTGGTTGATTTTATATTGAGGGATGGATCTTCCTTGGGCATGGATCTTGCCCGAATCATTTATATTTTTGGGATGGATTTTCCCTGGCATGGATCTTGCCAATTATTTATATCGAGGGATGGATCTTTCCTGGGCATGGATCTTGTCCGAATCATTTATATTTTTGGGATGAATTTTCCCTAGCATGGATCTTGCGAATTATCTATATTGAAAGATGGATCTTCCCTGGGCTGGATTGGCCTTATGCAGTACTTAGTTACTAACTGTCAGTGATATATATTTGGGGATGGATCTTCCCTGGGCTAGATTGGCCATATATAGTACTGAATGATTGAGTATTGTGAGAGTGTGAGTACACGAGGTTTTCATTGTGGTACATCACATACAACATGTATTTTGGCATGTAGATATAGAGATGTCATATTCCTCATATCATGCAGAATTGATCTATTTTACTTGTATTGGGCTTATTTGTTGAACTTGAGAATATGCCTATATTTTTGTACTGTTATTTCTATATTGGACTGTACTTGTTGAGCTCGTCACTACTTTTAGCCCAAAGGTTAGTCTTGTTACTTATTGAGTACATGTGGTCGGTTGTACTCATACTACACTCTGCACTTCGTGTGCAGATCCAGGTACTTCCGGATACGGCGACTGCTAGATTTCTGAGTTTTATCTGTTGGAGACTATCGAGGTAGCTGCTTGGCGTCCGCAGACTTGTACTCTCTTTCCTTTCAGTTACTTGTACTGTTCTATATTTTCAGACAGTGTTTTATCAGTCAGACTATGTTATCATTTAGATTCTCATGTACTCAGTGACACCAAGTTTTGAGAGTGTATTTGTATCAGTATTTGTGGAATTTTCTATTAAATCTAAATATTATGTTTTCAAACTTAAAAGATTATAGTGACTTATTGAAGTTATCGGCTTGTCTAGTATTGAGATATGCGTCATCACAACATGCGAATTTTGGGTTTCAAATTACCTTCTTTTGGATAAATGACAGCTTCTATTTGGTAAATAATTAACCTATTGAATTTAACCTTGAATTAATTGAGTAAACACATGGCACAAATCAGTAAGTGTATTAAGCAATAATGGACAAATTGTTATTGGAGGGGATCTCCACCCCTAATAGTGAGTGAAACTTGTTAAAGAACCAATTTGGGTACGTGAGGAACGGGATAGAATTGTACAGTCAGAGTCGATCCTGACCCGATTTTAACCGCTTTACTGCAAACTTGTTTGATTTTTTATTCTTCACTGAGCAAACTTGTTTGATGACTTTCTAAATTAATGACAGTAAAACTATCAAGTTTTATAAGAGGTTAAGTTATACTATACACTATCAAATTAAAAAGATATTCAGGTAAATTTTCTTAATTGTGTTTCTTTGTTGTCCTTATTTTTCGAGTGCATGAAATCCTTTCCCCCCCTTAATCTAAGAGAGAGTTATACAAATTTTCCTCAAATTTGAACTTATAACATAAACAGTCTAACTCTTTTTATAATAGTCTCGTTAGTTTCGATATTTTATTGACTTTTATATCAGTTGATTGTTGAACACATATAATAACATTTGCTATTTAAATATTATGAATGTTATAGAAAAAATAATCCAAAAAAATCGATTAAACTTTAGTACGTATTCTTTAAATCTTAAACTTTATACAGAATGGAAAACTTTTGTCTAATGGATTATAAATATATGTGTAGATATTTCAATGAAATAAAATATTTAATTATAGAAGTACGTACTCACGTATAATTCTTAGTCATAAGTGGTGTATAGTTTAAAATATTTGGTCAAAAATTGTAGCCTTATTAAAATTATCTATTTAAAATATTTGATAAAAAATTATAGATCTATTATCGACAAACATAGAAATTTTATTTCTATAAAAATGATTGTTATAGAAGGTAATTTTACAAAGAATGTACTATTATAAAGATAATTGTTGTTGTTAGATTACTATGAAAAAAAGTAAATAAACATAAAAAATATATGCCAAAAAAATTGACTTTATACTATTACATAGAGTAATTGTTATAAAAAGGTTTAACTGTACATTCATTGTGAGTTAATATTTTCACAAACTGCCCTTATTTCATTATATATAACAAGCTATGTTATGTTGTAATATACACAAAGAGACAAGCTTAGCTTCATGTTTTAATTTTATAATATACTTTATTATATATTCTAATTGTTTATTAGTGGATGCGTGTATTTAAATTGCTCATAGCACACAATTTCTTTAGGCTTTCCTACTTAAACGATGATGTTGGGAAAAAAAGTAAATGAGGAAGAAAACCTTTAATTCTCTTTTAACCTGTCTTTCCCTTTTGATTTTGTAGTACTACTTTTTAGTGTTATTTTTAGTTTCTTCCTTCTTAATCATCTAAAAATTATTTGAAGAAGTTGAATAGAGATCGCAAGAACTAGATCATCATTCAAAAAATATAAAATATAGTTTTTCTGTACAAAAGGAAAACATTAATTAATGTGTAAGGGCAAAGTTGTTTCTTTGTGTAATAAATAATTTTATTACATAAATAATAAAATGGTAGAGGGATGGATTTGTGTAATATTTGAAATTACAGAAAAGGCTTATTACTAAAATGAACATGAAGAGGAAGCGAGAGGATATGGAGATAGTGTGGCAAACTCCCGCCAACCCACCCGAACGCCATGACTACATCTTCCGCAATGGTAAGTTTCTTGAGCTTTGCCTCATATCCAACTTCTGTTACCTATTGCGTTGTCTTTTCTCTGCAACAAAATTTTTATGCTTTTCTGTTCTGCTTTTGCAGGAATACGCTATGTCAGACCTTACTACTTCGAATTCATTTCTCATGTATGAGCTACTACTCTCTCTTTGTTTATCTGTCTATTTGCAGAACAGATGCTTATCGATTGATTTGGCCATTTTCTTAATGAATTTGTCAAAACCCTAACTAAACCCTGTATATGGATTTAAATTTGGTTTAAATTCATTTTTCAGGTGAAAGCCCGGTGGGCTGGGAAGACAATTGTTGATCTCTTCTCTGAAGAATTTAAAGGGAGACCTCGTGATTACTATGTATGTTGTTTCTAACTGTTACATTTCGTGTTTACGTATATCCTTTTCTTTTGTTTGTTTGCTGGCATACATGATACATGAATGATTGCAATTATACTGGCATAAATGGTTTGATATATGCTACATTTTGAACAGGCCTAACTGTGATTTTACTTTTTTTGAATTGGAAATTATGTTAAGTTGAATTATTTGAGTGATGATAGCATATGCTTATAGCCTACCCTGATTGTTCGCGCATATTTTTGATTGTCTTAAGTACTACTGGATGTTCACTAGTGTACATCTGTATAGCAGAGGCTAATTTAGATGGTTTTGACTTATTCTAGGAATCTGCTGTTAAATCTGGACGTATACAAGTTGATGGACAAAAGGTGCATGTTTCATATGTAGTTCAGTCATCACAAAAGATTAGCCATTTCTTGCACAGGTTTGTACTGATTCAAGTTCTAGCCTCAGACAGTTAGTTTATTGACATCAATCTTCTGCTTGTTTTTTCTGTGGTCAATCCTTCAATAGATTTTGGTTTTCTTGATTTAACGTGTGTTAGCGATGGATCTTAGACTCAGCATCTGATTTGACATTTTCCAATCATGTTCTGTTATGCAATTATGAGAACATGACTGACAAAAGGCTGTAGGCATGAACCACCAGTGATGTCGTGGGATGTCGAAATACTATGTGAAGAACCAGATGTGCTGACAGTTTGTAAGCCTGCTTCTGTTCCAGTAAGCTAATAACGATTTCAATCTTTATGGAGTATCTTTGTTTCCTGTTTCACCATTCATTTAAATAATTTAAAAATCTTCTCACATATAGGTTCATCCATGTGGAAATATCTTGTTCCTTTCCCTCCAATTTTTCAAGGACTAGTCAAGTTTGTTTCAGAGTCGACACTAATCTCCATTTACTTGCTGAATAGCTTTTCCCTTTTACCACTCGGTTGCATGTTTATGATCTGTCCCTTTGGAGTACAGAAGGTTGTAGATTGAAATAGATTCTCACCATGTGACAACTTTTCAAAAAGAATCTAGATAGTGATCAGAGGACTGATACATTTGGTAGGATCCCTCTAAGAAGAGAACGGGTGTACTTTTGCTTTTGATCTGTAAATGCTTTTGCCTGCACTTTCTTCATGCTATTTTATTAATACAATTACCAATTCAAAAAATAAAACTTCCCAATTAATCTGTTATCCACGTTTGTGTTGGATGGCTAACTCATTTCCGAAGATTGCATTATGTTTTCTTTTTGTCTTATAGTTGTTGTATTGTCCTTGCTTCACCATTCATATATATAATGTAAGCAATTTCTTCTCATTTGTAGGTTCATCCATGTGGACAATACCGCAAGAATACAGTTGTTGGTATACTACAAGCTGAGTATGACTTGGCACCTTTGTTTCGTATCCTGTGTTCCCCTAGTGGCAGCAGGGCATAACTTTCTGTTTTGTTATTTATACTGGAATCTAGTATATTTCACAAGTCACATTAAATATATCAACTTGTTCTAGTCTTCTCTTGACTTTGGTGTTAGCGGTTCATCGCCTAGATCGCTTGGTCTCAGGACTACTTATCTTGGCTAGAAGTGCTTCTAGGGCTGACCTCTTCAGGCAACAGGTATATTTTCTGTTTTTATGATTAAATTGCAATGAATTGCAAATGAGAGAAATCATAAAAATAATAGATCTCAATGCATAACTGCTTTCTAACCACACCTATTTTTCCTTATTCTTTGTCAATATCAATACGTTAGCGGTACGAGATGAATAAGTTCCAAATATAACCAGATTTGGTTAGACTCCAGCAGCTTTGTGCTCAAATGCTTGTGAGGAGGTGTTAAAATGATTCCTGTCAAAATCTTTGAAACTGACTTTACACACATATGATACTCTTATTCAATGCTTGATTTTACAATCCTACTTTGTGTTCCAGGATTTCAAATTAAGGGACCTTTCTTTCTAGTTTTATTGAATAGAGAAAGCATATTGCTGTACTATTCGAAGTGTGGCGTTTGAAACCTCACTAATCTGACTTAAATTTCTAAATATGCTATTTGTTTTCAGAAGGCTCCTGCTGAACTAATTTAATTCTTGTTTGTAAATACTGTCAGCTCCTCTAATTGTCTCTTAATTATGAGGTAGAATATTTTCCAATTAATGTTGAATTTACTACATGGGGACTATTGTCTACTTCCTAAACTCTACAACAGAGGCTCTTAAAGATTATTTTTTGATATCTTGGCATCAGAATCTGAGTTCTTGAAACAACTGGTGCATAATTGATGTATAGAGTTGAAAATACAACGTTCTTATGGGGTTGAAGTTAGTTTCGTCAGAAGTTTCTTGGTCTATACATATATTATGGAAACTATTTCCACAGCTATACATTCAATTGAGCATGACTCTTTCTGAGTTTTAAGTGCACTGTTGGATTACTTGTTTGATCAATCTTTTTTGCTGGACAAAGTTGTCCCCAGTAACTAGTGCTGGACATTTTTTGGAGTTCGTTAGCACTTGTTTCCTAGATTGAGACATTGTATAGGGGCTAGCAATTCACTTTTGTTGTCTGTATTTATGCTTCTTGTAATTAAGCCTCTTGTAATCTTGCAGCTTATGGATGCTTTTTTTTTAATGAAACAAATTACGTCATCTTAAAAATTATTTGTTTCAGCTGCTAAACTTCACTGCGCTTCTGCTATTCTGCAAGTAGAATCTGTTCAGGTGAAAATTAACTCAATTCCAATTATTTGGACAGCAATAATTGGGTGACCTACATATCTTGAAGTCAGTTGCAAAAACTCATCCAGATAAATATCTTACAGTTCTTATAACATTTTCCTTAACCTAGAGCAGCTCCAATTTTCCAGTTCCCCTCTGACTTTTCAGAAAAGTATCTACTGAGTTCTTCATTTGCTGCTAAATCGATCTTTTAAATGGTTGGGGTGGAAGACTTTAAGCACATGCAAAGTCAAACCAATGTATTTCAGACTCAGAAGTCCATGCTTTCCACCCAGTAAAGTGTAAACTAATCTTTTGAACTGTCGAATAAGTAACTACTCGTCTTGCTTATCCATCCTTTAATTCCTATAGGCTGGTTTACTTTCCATCTATTGTTAACTGAACAGGTGTTTCTAAACCCTTATTAAGTACACCTTGGTTTTTTTTCCAGATAGAATCAGGAATGGTGCAGAAGCAGTATATTGCGAGAGTGATCGGAGTATTCCCAGATAAGCAGGTATCGTTCATCTCGTCATTCATTCCCCTCTATGCAGCACCCCCCTCTTAACTCTATTCTTTGTACTCTTCACAATTACCGTTTTTACTTTTTTGACTTGCCTTTTCTCCTTGCTTCTTTCCTTAGCAAGTTGTGAATGCTAATGTCAATTACAATGCTCGAGAAGGAAGAAGCACAGTTGAGGTAACATGTTCTTTTGAAGTGTGTACATCATTAGTGCCTGTTCTCCCCTCTTTCTAGTAAATTTGCTCTTTCAGCTTTTGTATCTTGTTCATCAGATTTAGCTCAACTTATGATGTTGGTTGATTTAGCTCTTGCATAGAACGTGACTTGCATTATAGTATTTGAACCAGTGGAAACATAAAATTTACTAAAGCTGGAGGGAAAGCTTGAGGAATGGAATCTTCCTTTTGCGCTGCAGAATGCTTGAATCTTGCACATATGATGGAGTAACGATTTATAACTATTTCTCATTCAGTATTCTACATTTTAGAAGCAAATACGATACTGATCCTTAAAAGATAAGTATGCCTAACCCCCTGCCTCTGCCCCATGCCCGAACTTCCCGTTTGGTGGCTACAGATTGGGCAGAAAGAAGACAGGATTTTAGAACCTGAAAGCAAAAAGTTGTAAGAGAATATAATGTGTCTGCTTTATAGAGCTTTTGTGCAACATTGTTGTTGATAGAAATCGTGCAAAGTAGTCAAATTTTCTTGTCACAGTAACACAACATAAATGACTGCAAATTTCCTGTATCTGAGCTAGTTCCCAGAAACTAAAACATTCGTTTTCTCTCCTACATTTTCAGTTAGAATTCTGAATTATTAGTCTATCACTAATTGACATGACACCAATTTTAGTTATTCACAATGTTAACCTGCTTAATTTGCTTATTCTTACACATCAGTCACAATCGACTCCTTGCATCCCTCATATCTCTGCAGTGTCAGAACTCGTGCTCTCTGAAAACTCTTTTGCCGTAATTTGCTAATCTTTTTGAATCATCCTTCTCTATCACTCTCCTTTTCTTCTTTCATTCTAACCCATCACTTACCAATTGTAACTTGATGCTATCTCTTGGAGTGGATGAAGTGTAACCATGTGGTGACAACAATTGGGCGATACAATATAGACCTTTTGCTAATTCATCGGGGGATGACAACTCTTTTTTATTTTGAAAGTCATTTTCCCAATTTTTCTGCTTCCCTTTTTCACCTAGAGGAGTTGTAATGTAATATGGGAGGTCTTCTGTCACAAAGTCGAGGAAAATAAATAGTGAAAACCGAACAATGTTTGAGCCATCAAAAGTTGAGTTAAGAAATGTGCTGTTTACTTTTTCATTGGGTGAGGAGATTATGTTCCAAGGTATCCACCTGTGGAGATCAAAATCTCAATGCAGGGCTTCTATACCTTACCATATATAAATAATAATAAAAAGAATCTCAATGCAGGGCGGGCTGTAAAAGCGCAATTGATTGACTTATCTATTGGTTGTAATTTTGTAGTTGAATAAATTGATTTGCTATGCGAGCTTTATCAACCATTTGATTGTGCTTTGGGCTTGGAAAACACACTTTGTTATGAGTGGGTTCTGTTTCTTGTTTGATATTATTAGTCATGCTAGTCATCTTGGGCTAATCGTTCTAGTAGGTGGGGGATGGCCAGGGAAATAGTACTGCTTCGCTGAAGGGAAAGACTGCCTGTACCAAATTTACAAGGATGAGTACCAATGGGAAGCACAGCATCGTTCTGTGTGAACCAGTGACTGGCAGGACACATCAGGTACTTAAAATGTGATAATGACAATTTTCTCGTATCATTTATGTCCCTTTATACCCACCCTTCCCTCAGTTAATACAAAAAAAAAGAAGAAACTTCTGCATTTTGTTGAATCATCTGTTGCTTTTTATTTATATTTTTTGAGTTGAATATCTTTTTTGCTTGAGTAACATCTCCGTTTAATATTCTAGCTCTTAAGTTTATCTGTTTTTGTCCTAATCCATAATTAGAGTGCAATAGATTCATTTGTTGTGAAATTGCATCTTCAAATGATTTATGCCTTTGAGATAAGATACCTTTTGTCCTCGGTTTTAATCGGCCGTTTCTTTTAATATTCTTTGGTTGAGGCATTTCTATTGAATGTGGTTTCTGAAGGGAAATCTTAGTAGCTCAGTTGGTTGACTATCTGAAGTTTCACCTTGTTGGTGAGGGGTTCGATTCCCCACCTTGTAATCCCCTCCCCCCAATATTTTTTTAAATATAAAAATGTGGTTTCTGGAATTTTTATTCGTGTCAGTCAGAACAGTGATATTGCTAGCGAAATTCTCTCTTTAAGGATGATTAGCTTGATATACCTAACAAAATTTGCTTTAAAACAGATACGTGTTCATCTGCAATATACAGGACATCCTATAGCCAATGATATGCTCTACCTGTCTGAACTTGTGTCTAATCGTTCTGCTGAAGGATTGAGTGCGGATAGAGCTGCAGCTAAATCATGTTCTCCTCCAGAGCCCATCTCTCTTGAAAATGACACTAATGACACGGCAAATGACTCCAATGAAGATTTCAGCATTGATCCTGTGTGTACAAATTGTCCAAATCTTGCTCCGAAAGGGTAAGGATGGTGTCTGTATTGCATAATTCTTGATGGGTCGATTCTGGAGTGCATGTCCAACCTTATAGTTACTGTCCATACATGTTTATGGTTGAGGGGCTATGGTGACCCTTAAATTTTGGCAAGTACTATTGTAACATAGCAATTTGCAGGTTTGTTTCTTAAGCCAATTGTTCCTCAGTGAGCATTCTTCCTTCTGCTATGCCATTTAGACCTATGAGGCTCATCCAAAATAATGGATTTCTTGTTTCCCCAAAACCACTAATACTTCTGGATTCACAAAACTACTAATATTCCACTTTTTAGTTTGCATTTAAGAAATTTCAATTTCCTGCACAAAATTTGGGTAGCCTTCCACTCTCTACCTTGTACCGTTCCATGAGTCCCTCTGATTCTAGCCACAGTCTCGAACTTGAGGTAAGAGCTCTTCCTTTCCCACTTTTAGATTAAGAGCAATATAATTTAGTTAAAAGCCATCTTATGGTAACCCAGGAGATCAAGCACAAACCGCCTTTCAAAATAGAATAAGTTAGACAAAAGAAATTGAGATGACTATAATGCCCACCAAGATCAGTACACAACTGTTCGCTAGTTAAACACACGGAAATGTAAAAAAATTCTTTATTTCAATGGTTCAAGGTCATCTTAGCACCGGAAAATCGTTGAAAGGCTGATTATCATTTGACAATTTCTCTTTACTGTTACCGATTTCAAAAGAAAAAAAACATTGAAAGGCTGACACAGGTATGAATTGTAAAGTTACTAGTGCGCTTTAGCCTAAATTTACTGAACTTTATCTTGATAAAGCTTCTTTGTTTGCTCATCTAAGATCTTGTGTTCTTTTATGACTAAATGGTTGTAAGCTTGTGCATTACCCCTCGGTTTAGGTTTTGAGGCCTAGACTATGAATGTGTGGCTAGATTTGTCTGGTTGTTGTTTAGTTAAAAAAAAAAGTACCACTTGTGACCTTACTCTTGGTTTTAGAAGCCTTTCTCATGTTTGGCTTGATTGATGCCCTTTATTATTTCAAAATGCAGGTATGAGGGAAATGAAGAGGGTCTATGGCTGCATTGTGTAAAATATTCCGGACCGGGCTGGATATATGAATGTCCACTTCCAGATTGGGCATCCCTAAGTTGATATGCTCTTTTAACATTCATTATACGTCTGATTTCAGAACTGTGTTATGCTTTTGGTGCTCCGCCTCTTGTGCTTTGTTCATTCTTGTGCAGCTGGATGACATGCGTCCTGGTAAATTCCTGGAGTGCTGCGAATGTGATTGGGGAGGCACCCATGTGGTGTTTTAGGTCTTCGTATGATGCATGGTGTACCTTGAATTTGGATTTATGGGAAGTTAGCTTTGGATAACTTTCGATCCCAACTGGTTTATGAACAAGTGTTTTGCAGCAATTGTTCCAGAAACAATTTGTGGAAGTCGCCTGTGTTTGGCAGAGATGATTTTCTTTCACCATGTTAATATTGGATTACTCAGAATCTACCCCCTTTATTTGTACACCAGCAGTACGGAATCTTTGGCAATTAATAAACGGTGGCTCAAATGTCCCTAACGTTTGTTTTTTTGTTCAAACTTACCCCTATATCTAACAGAACTAATCTGGTCAATTTTTGACTTTTACTTTGCCATGTAACATTTTCTTAACCTGCTACGTGTATTATCTGTATTAAATTAAAACTCACCTGCATTTTTTAAAATACCCAACGATCCTGACCCGCTCCTGTAACCCACCCATTACCAGTTAATTTAAATCAACGACCCCTTTCTTCGTTCTCATTAATAAGAAACACTAGGGTTCTAAAACCATAACACTTGTCCATTATTTTGACCTAAGCTTTTTACAAGTACTCTGTATGTGCTTGTGGTAGGCTAGTGCCAACGTCGGTGTAGGGGTAGTAGATACCTGGCTGCCAAAGGCATATAAAATCCTGCCCTCGTAATCTTTGCTCTCCAGCAATAAAGTCAAAACCTAGATCTAATGCTAGCATTCTCGATTCTTATGGTCATTTTTTCTTGGGGAGGATATGGAAGAAACAATATTCTTGTTCTGTTCTTGAAGCCTTGCAACTTTCCAAATGTATTAATTAGAGAGTTAATATCTCAAAACCCACCTAAGCTATACCGATTTTGTGAGTATCATACTTAAACTATTGGGGGTTTTCATTACCCCTGAACTACAGTGAACCCATAATAAAATACCCCCAAGGAATATGTGGATGAGAAAGTGCTTTCAATCTCTAAAAGGTACGCGGGAGCTTAAAAAATTAGTCCACGGGGAATGTACAATAGCTGATTAGTCCAGAAAAATAATAATTCCTAATATTTTCTTATTATTAACTATTTTTAAAAAATAAAATTCCTTATTTCTATCACTTTTTTCTCCTCTCTTCTTATTTCTTTCTTCTTTATCTTTTTTTTTCTTTTTTGAACGAATTCATCTCTTCTTCATCTTCCTTGACCCAAACTCAACTGGGTTTAGAAATTACAGGTTTCATTATAAATTTCTTCATCCATTTCTCTTCTTTTGTTTTTCAAAATTATTGTAAAAACACTTTCTTTATACCTTTTTCTTCATTTTATTTTCTCTTATTTGAAAACTCGGTATCTTCTTGGGTATGAAAATGAAACCTAACTTGGAATGAAAAGTGTAAATGAAATTCGACATTTATTCAATAGAAAACCCATACATTTTGGAATAAAACTTTAAACGCTAACTATAAATCTGGATGAATTCCTAGTATCCCTTCCCAAACAGTACTTTTGCAACATAAAAAAGAATGAAAATTATCAAACAAACCTATGAAATCAGCCTTCATGGTTAATTTGAATATCCAAAAATAATAATTCATAAAGTGTATAATTAGATTTTGTATAAATTTTTTGTTTCAAATAATAAAACTAAATTATGTTAATGGAAATTAATTCCGCTTGGAGTGCCACTTGGCAGACTTAAAATGGGTTTGGGGCGTGTATAACTCAGGCATTACCTTATACTCTTTAAGGGGTTTTTAATATATGGGGGAGTATAGTTCGAGGGTTTTGGGGACACCGAATAGTTTAAGTACGTAACTAACAAAAACGTAATAGTTAGGGATTTTTTAGGGTATTCATTCTTTAATTAGATGATTTTAGATTAAATACGGATCAAGAAGCAAACTTGTATTCTTCTAATGAGGAATACATAATAGTTCATAACAAGTTTGAAGAGATTAAGCTGTGAGTCATAGGAGCGGGTCAGGGTCATTGGATGTTTTAAAAAATACAGGTGAGTTTTAAGTTACGAAAAAGGGCCATATATATCCCTCTACTAGCTAAAATAAGTCATATCTGTCTCCCATTATACTATACAATTAAAAGAGTCCTTACTGTTTGTGTCCAAAAATTAAAACGCCCCTCTACCGAATACTCCCAATTTTAAATTAAAAATATCCACGTGTCAGCCTCTTACTGAATGAACTAAACCCACCCCTATTTTTTAATTGACCCACCGACCCAGCTAATTTTATCCGACCCACCCGATCTTTTAATTAAAAAAGAGCCCCAACACATCGGTTCTCTCATTTCCTTCCTTCAACCAATGAGAGAAAATTAGAGTTCTTCAAGAAACTACGTTGGCTACTTTAATTTCTTTCATTATCACTTATTTGATCTTAATTTCTTAATTTAGGTTGTAAATATTGTCCAAAAAGGTGGTTTGGCATATCAAAAAATAGTTCTTCATCCAAGAGGAAGTGCCATTGTGGGGAATATACTAACCACTTTACTTCGACTACTCTTTTTAACTCTAGAAGGAGATTCTACAAGTATCCAAAATAAGAAGTAAGTGATTATTATTAAATTTTGTCGTGTTTGAATTTGTTTATAATTTACCGAATTGTTTCCCTTTGATTTGTTTGAATTGTATTTTGGTTTTACAGGATGCTTCATGTGGTTATTGGGAATGGTCAAATGACCCTATTCCCGATAGAGCACTCGTTGTAATCAACAATTTAAGGTCTCAGTTGGATGCGAAAAATGTTAAAATCAGTGCTTTGAAGTCGTTGTTGGACAATGTTAAAACTGAAAGGGATAAATTGAAGGAGAAAATGGTCGCCATGAAGGCAAGAAACCATGTTCAAGTGACTAATTAGAAAAGAAAATCCTCAAGATGAAGATTTTTATTTTCATTTTATGCTCCCTTTATGTTGGAATTTAAGCTGCTAGGGTAATGAATTAAAGTTGATTATGATACTTGATGTATTTGGTAGGGAATGTTACCTCTTTTTTTGATATTTTGTAATTCCACAAATTATGTAGGCGTAATATCAAATGAGTTCACTTTTGTTTAGACTACTTCAAATCTTGGAACCTTGATGTTTTAAGTTGAAGTTTAAGTTGTAATGTTAATTGCTCTTGTTAGTTCTACTACAGATTTAAGTTGAAGTTTAAGTTGCTCCATATTTAAATTGAAGTTTTAAATTGCTCTTGATGTTTTAAGTTGAAGTTTAAGTTGCTCCATATCAGTTGGTTGTTCATATAGTAAGTTTCAAACTGTAGATTCAACAAACTGCAAATTCAATATTAGCACAAACAACATATTTAACAAATTGCACAAACTACAGATTCAACAATTGCACAAACTATAGGTTCAACAATTGTAAAAGCTACACATACTGTAGATTCAACAAACTGCAAATTCAATATTAGCACAAACAACATATTTAACAAATTGCACAAACTACAGATTCAACAATTGCACAAACTATAGGTTCAACAATTGTACAAGCTACACATACTGTAGATTCAACAAACTCTGCGCAAACTGCATATTTAATAAACTCTGCACATACTGCAGATTCAACATTAATTACTGAAACAACAAATTAAATAGTAAATGCATATTTCATTATNTACAAGCTACACATACTGTAGATTCAACAAACTCTGCGCAAACTGCATATTTAATAAACTCTGCACATACTGCAGATTCAACATTAACTGCAATACTGCAGATTCAACATTAATTACTGAAACAACAAATTAAATAGTAAATGCATATTTCATTATACAAAACAAAGTCAGATTTATAGATACATGGATGCCATATTATACCCCCCAAAACTGGCACAAACATGGTGATAATATGACATCCAACTCCAACTTTCAGCAACAAAGCTTAACAAATGACATAATAGGAAATGTACTATCACGTGGCAGTAATTACAACCCAACGAACTACACAAAAAATAACCTATTTAGTTCTATTACTATAGACTTCAATTGCTTCCCCTTCTTGGCTTCAACTTATCCACTTTCTTTTTGCTTTGCATCTCCAGCTGGCTTCCAGTTACAACACTTTTTCCCTTCCATTTGAGTCCCGGTGTTTTGAAAAGAAGTGATGATGGAAGACTGACACCATTTGTTCACCAGTGAAGGAAATTACTCTTACACTTGAAGTTTAAGGTGGTTTTTGCCGTTCCAAAAGTCTTGTTTTAGATTCTGACACAATTGTTAGCCTTGTAACTACATCTGGATCAAGTTCAAGGAAGATAAAGTCAGGGAATTCAGGGAAGATAAAGTCAGGGAATGGACTGCTTGATTGACTGTGCACAGATGGTGTAGGCATTGACACAAAATTTGAGCCTGGAACACTAGAATGACTTGTTGACTAGATTGGAGTGTTGTTAGGTGTATTTCTTCTTCTGATTGTTTCCCACACTATCATCTTCATCAACCAGATGTTTGGTATTTTTTCTTGCCCTTTTTGCCATGGGTGGCTATTGTTAACAAGTAAAATAAGTTAGATAAAGTATTGACACTAGAAATATAATTTTGAAAAAGTAAATGTTACCTTCTCACAACCCCTTGCATTATGTTTTGCCTCTCCACAGTTGGTGCAAGTCATTACTGTCCCTTTTCTTGAAGCTGCCTATTCACCTTGCCTTTTGATTGCCTTATCTTTCTATCTGGTTATCTTGATTTTAGGCCTACCAGCCATCTTGACTAACTCAGGTGGTTCTGATAGTAGGCTATAATTGCGTGTTTTAGTTGCTTATCACACTCTAATTTACTGCACTTTAATTGAGTTTGAGCGTTAATCGCTAGTATTTTGTACTAAAGGTTATTTTATGCCTTGTAGGAGTGATCCCGAGTTATGTAGATGTTATGAAATGAATTTAAGATATTCTGGAGTTTTGAAGTCCAAGTAAAAGCTCAAGGATTAAGTTGGGATCGTGTTCGGGGATCAACGGACAATCGTGCACTTAACGAGAGAAACAGAGAATCGAGCAGGATGCCACCCAGGTGCGCGAGCGAGCACTGGGCACGCAAGTGAGGAAGAATACCATCCTAAATGCGCGGCCATATGCGTGAGCACATTCCCAGGTGCGCGGTCGCGCACGTCCTATTCTGGAAAGAGTCCTATTTCGCGTAGGAGAAGGTGTGTTCATTTGGGCCTGACCCTACTTGTTATATATACATGGAATAACGGTATTTTTGGGACTTTTGACACCTCTAAGACCTAAGGAGGCTAAGGAGAAGTGAGAGAAGCAAGAGCACAAGGGATTTCATCATTCAATCCTCACTCAAGACAT